CAGGCGGGTCTCGAACCCGCAGGCTCAGGCAATCCAATCACCTCAGCCTCCCAAAGGCGCAGGATTACAGGCTGAGCCACCAAGCCCGGCTCTAATTTACCTTTTTAATAAACTTTTTCTAACTTGCTCCTTGTGCCTTACTTCTTTCCCGTGACATTGGCCCACCGACCTAACAGATATATTAGTTCTTCAAAGCAATGCAAAACAAAAATCATACAATTTGTAGGTCTCCCGTGTGTGTGTGTGTGTGTGTGTGTGTTTTGAGTCAGGGTCTGTGTATGTGTGTGTGTGTTGAGTCAGGTGTTTTGAGTCATCCAGGCTGGAGTGCAGTGGCATGATCTTGGCTCACTGTGGCCTCCACGTCCTGGGCTCAGGTGATTCTTCCTCTTCAGCATCCTGAGTAGCTGGAATTACAGGCACATGCCACCATGCCCAACTAATTTTTTGTTGTTGTTGTTGAGACAAGATCTTGCTATGTTGCCCAGGCTGGCCTTGAATTCCTTTAATCAAGTAATCCTCCCACCTTTGGCTGTAATCCCAAAGCGCTGGAATTACAGGCGTGAGCCACCACACACGACCTGTAGGTCTCCTTTGATTCTTGGACCAACGCTTTGCTCGGTTTTCATAACTTGGCCTTGGCCAAGGCCAACCCCGGCTTCAGCTCCAGGGTCTCCAGCCACACACAGGTCCCTGGACACATGTCGCCTAAGGTGCACCTCTTTCTCTCTCTTGGATTGTCTGAGCTGAGGAGGTGGATGCCAGCGGTGAGCACTCCAGCCTGGTCAACAGAGTAAGCCTCCAACTCAAAAACAAAAACAAAAACAAAACCTACTTGTCTTGGCACAGCTCAGGCCCTCCACGGACTTTTGCCGACATTTCTCTGGCTGAAGTACACACGTGGGACGGGGTGTCCACCCCCTCCTTGCCACTGTCCTCTCTTCCTGCAACCCAGCGCAGCTCCAGGGTGACCCTGGAGTAAAAGAGTATGCGAAATCCTTACTCCCACCCGACTCTCCTGAAGTCCATGGTCAGCAGAAGTCATCCCGACGCCGAGAAGAGTTTAGGAAGCAGATCGGAGCAAGCCGTCCTCTTGTAAACAGTCACTGCCCGGAAGGCCTGGCCCTGCCCCTGCTCCCTGCCCGCCTCTCCGCTCGTTCACGGGGGTCCCTTCTGTCCACTCGGGGAACACAGGCGAGCCAGGGTGGGCGCACTCCCGGCCTCTGCGCCTGCTGTTCCCCCGCTGGGATGCGCTTCCTGAGGCCTTGACAAGACGCCTTCCTCGTTCGGTCTCAGGGTGGCTTCCTGGCTCTGCAGGTGCGCCCTCCGTCGCCCTTCCATCTCCTCCCGGCCCTGTCGCCGTCTGG